AGCAATTAGGTTTCCAATCTTTCAATTTCATTAATGTGACATTAAAAAATTCCGTTAACATGATACAACAAAATTCAGCTGACGTAACACACTGCTACCAAACTTGGAATTCTCTTTTATGAATTTTTGCAATATGTAAATATTGGGTTCTTAGAAGCCTTTAAACACCGACGTGGAAAGTCCAAATAAGGGATTTTTTTTTTTTTTTTTTGGGGAAACAAAGGCTGATGTTACCTCATGTAAAATTCCCTAATAAAATGATGGAAATTATATTAAAAAATTTGTCGCGCAAAAATCATAAACACTAATGAAATAATTGAAATTTTTTTAAAGAAAAGATGAGTCAAATGCCTCTTTTTAAGACATATATTTGACGCATATTTAATTCTTTTCGATGTCCATTTGGACCATGCAATGTATCTATAATGTAGTTCTCGAAATGAGTCGAGACGATGTAAGTGATTTATGGATTCAGCTAGCGTACGATCTTTGAAAATTCTAGAAATATTAGTTTGGATCAAGCTACTTTGATGTTCTATAATATTTGCTATGATAGGCCCTTACATACGCCATTAACGAAGTGGACAACTATGTCCTGAACACTTTGAAATGATATTAATAGTACAATATTTCAACTTCGTTTGAAATATTATAATAACCCCAAAAATTAAGAAAAAAAAACATAGAAAATTTATTTATTTATGCTTTGGTCAAAATCACACTAGAGAGTGAAAAAACCTAGGTAGTGTACACAAAGAAAATAAGAGTCGTAGAGAGAGAGGTGCCAAGATGATACATGCAAATCTTTAGAGATACGGTGTAGAACAAAACATCAAGAGGATACCCAAAAAAAAGGGTTGCCAGTGTAGGTAGGGAGTGGGGGTATTAAATTAAAAAAATGATAATCATATTTGTCCTATAGCATGGAGACATTTTCAGGGATTATGTTACATTTTTAAAAAGAACTAAAAGTAGAAATTTATTATATGTGATTACACTTCAGTTTGCCAAAAAAAAAAAAAAAAAAAAAAGAAAAAAAAAAAAAAAGCAAGCAATACGAAAGGAGCGACAACATACGTACATATAATTTGTATAATAAAGAGATTGCATTGGCATAGGATGACATCACAAAATTCAGTAAACACGAATTGATTAGCCTTTAATACGAGATTATTCGATATAACCAGTTAATATGATACAACTTATTTAAAGCAACACAATTTATTTAAGAGACCTGCATAACCCTGTTAATTTTAATATAATTATTGAATCACACAATTTTCGACACTACAACTCGAGGCCCAGGATTTGATGTATGTAAATGGTAGGAGCAAAACAGATGTACAATGGTACAAGTTTCATTATAGTAAATATTGGGCTAAGTTATACAATATATATGATCCCTCGTACAGGATGCAATTTATACACCAATCTCCCTAACTCAATTATATCTAACTATAGAGTCTCAGGTTTAACAAATATGATGAGGTGTGGTGTGTAGTTGATTATTAAGCCATTGTTTGAATCACATTATTTCCATGATAATACATTTTTTTTAGTATATTAATGGGAAATGTGTTGTTAAAAAATAAGGAAATTTTTGAATTTGCGTGAAATATTATTTTATTGAAGAATATGCAGTTCAAGTAATGTCAAATCACCGTTTAAAAATGTTATTTTTTTTTTTTAAAATGTGGATCAAATGGAGCCTAAATATGTAATTTATTATTCAAGGACTTCGATGATTTAAGAATTTCTTCAAGAGAATTAAAGAGGTGATAGCATGGCCTAACCACCACTTTATGAAGAATTAAGAGGTAGGTAGCATGGGCCCCCAGGGCATATCTCCCAGTGGCAAAGGGGAGAGCGGATAGGGCTCAACGCTGCAGTGTGCAGAGTTCGATTTCCCGCAAGGTGGAATTGACTTTGTTGCAAGCGGGAGTTACCATATGGGTTAACAGCCTTGGCCTATCCATATGCTCTCTACCCTGGCTCCTGGGAGGCACATCCTGCGATTTACTTCCTCCACGATGGCCCAGGGCAGGGTCGGTGGGGGCCCCTAAGGTTGGGGTTCAACCTTTTTTTTTTTTTTTTTTTTTTTTTTTTTTTTTTTAA